AATAACTGAGTGTATCAAAATCAATAATGCTTGCCTTTACTTCATTTTAAATAATCAGTTTGCAAAATATTTCTGACTGTTTAAAAGCCTCTTTATCAAGCAGCCGAGTTGCCCCTTTTGTGCTCGCTCAATACAAAACAAAAATTGTCACCATGGAATGGCAAGGACTTAGTAGCTCTGAAAATACGATAGCCGTAATATCGCTGAGCCGGTGGATTCTCTAATGTGCACCAAAACTTAATCGACAGTGGTTTAGCGTCGTCTGTGATATGATCGACACGATATTCGTCACAACAATTAATAAAACGACTCTAATAGTGCTTGATCATTGCGTGACACGTTGACTCAAGCGGTGTTGTCTGTATTCTTATCAACAACGGCAAATTGGTGAATCATATTGCGACATCAATTCCAATTGATGTAAAAGATACCTTTTTTGGTTCAAATAGATATTGATGACTGCGCGAACCGTCCTTGCCGTAACAATGGAACCTGCTATGATCATATTGGTGGCTTCAAGTGCGCATGTCCGAAAGGTTTTGATGGGCTCCAATGTGAAATAGGTAAGTTACGTTGAGCTGTCTATAACCAAAGTTTCCACGCATCGTTGAGGTTCAAAGGCAGTATCAGTGCCTGCTCACGCTTGGTTTAGGCTTTTTGTGACTCTCTTCTTGCTCAAAGGATTCCTTATCTGAATTCTATACTTTTCCTTCCCGCTGTAAAAATTACAGCTTGACGTGGGGGTAAACATTGTATGAAGGGCCATAGCAGGGATGTACGGCTTATTCAAACTTACTAAACTACTGATAATCTATAGAACTGGCCTAATATGCAACGTATCATTGTACATTTAGAAATATATTGTTAGTGGTATTCTTGTTATTATTTTTGAAGATGATTTGTATAATTAAAGTGAATAAATAAATAAATGAATATAGAACGAAGACTTAATAACTCTCTTGCCCTTTATTATCTTTGTTTTGGCCAACTGACATTTTTCAAACAAGCACAAACTATACCAGATAAGCTCATTCCAGGAAATAGATACTGATTAAAGGCTCCTGAATATATCTTTTGCCACTAAATCGCAAGCATAACTTGGATCAAAGAGACAATAGATTTGGGTTTGTACACCGCTAATGCAACAAATTATGTTCTTATAACAACTGCTATTTAAATTCATATTTCTATGACAGTCCCTAAAGTGGAAGTCGTTCGCTCCTGTGACAAATTACCTGTCTGGCAACTCCATAATGGGGATGTTATCATCGAGTCGAATCAGACTGGTACAAAGTACCAAAACAATTTGAACTGCAGTTGGATGGTGTCTTCAAATACAAGAATAGAACTTGTCTTTATGATTTTCGAAACGGAATATGTGCACGATGTTGTGCAATGTTTTGACGGTGAATCATCCTCTGCCCCTCTGATTGGTGGATTTAATGGATCATCTCTTCCTTCCCCAGTAACAAGTTCGTCCAGCAAACTTTTCCTTCGGTTTACAACCGATCATTCAGTAACTAAATCTGGATTTCGCGCACGTTTCCGAGGTATGATGCCTACTTATATTAATGCATGTTTCGTAAATCATAAGAAAATCA